TATTGATTTCTAAGTTTACATCACTGTAGTCCATGAAGATACCTGATATGATTTTGGGGTTTTTTTTAGTTGTTGAGATCTTGCTTTATGACTAAACTGACTAAGCCTATGGTCAGTTTTGGAGAATAGTCCATGCATAGATGAGGAGATTGCATATTTATTTGCTGGGTAAAATGTTATATAAATGTTTATTAAGTCTGTTTGTTCTATAGTCCAGTGTAAGTTTCTTTGTTGATTTTCTGCCTCAATGATTTGTCTAGTGATGTCAGTGGGGTGTTTAAGTCCTCTAATAGTATTGTTGTGGTATCAGTGTGTTTTCTTAGGTCTGGTACTATTTTATGAATCTGGATTCTCCAGTTTTGGGTGAATACATCTTTCAGATAGTTAAATCTTCTTCTTGTATTGAACACTCTATATTATATGATGTTCTTCTTTGTCTTTTTATTGTTGTTGGTTTGAAGTCTGTTTTATCTGATATGAGAATGCCCACTCCTGGTCTTATGTTCCATTTGCATGATCTTTTTTCCACCCTTTTACTTTGAGTCTGAATGTATCTTTAGCCAGTAGGTGGGTCTTTTTTAGACAGCAGATGTTTGTGTCTTGTTGTTGTTTTTTTTTTTTTATAACACGGTTTGCCACTCTGTATCTTTTAAGTGTACCATTTAGGCCATTTACGTTGAAAGTTAATATTGCTATCTGAGGTCTTATTGTTGTCATTGTATTATTAAGTAGTTGTTTTGGAGTTTTAATTGTGTAATTGCCTTATAGGATCCGTGAGCTTTGTACTTTTGTATCTTTTACTGATGGTGAGTATAGTACTTTCATTTCCATATTTAGAATTCCTTTGAGCATTTCTTGTAGGATTTGTCTAGTGGTGACAAATTCTCTTAGTGTTTGCTTGTCTGGGAAATACTTTTTTTCTCCTACATTTATGAGCCTAGTATGGCAAGATGTAAAATTCCTGGTTTGCATTCATTTTCTTTAAGGAGGCTAAAAATAGGCCTCCAATCTATTCTTCCTTGTGTGGTTCCTTCTGAGAGGTCCAGTGTTTCATCAGTTTTCTTTTCTAGGTGATTTGACTTTTTGCTCTAGCTGCCTTTAATATTATTTATTTCTTCAACATTCACTTTGCATAGTCTGAAGACCATATGTTTGGTGATGTTCATCTTGTATAGAATCCCACAGATGTTCTCTGAATTTTTCATATCTGGATGTCCCAATTCCCCCACAAAACTAGGAAAATTTTCTTGAGTTATTTTAAATATGTTTTCCAGTTGCTTACTTTTTCTCTTTAATAAGTCATAGGTTTTATTGCTTTACATAATCCATCTTCCTCAAAGGCTTTGTTTTTCAAAATTCTTTTTACTTTTGACAAATTTAGTTTCAACAATCAATCTTAAGCTCTGAAATTATTTCTTCTGCTGGTGTAATCCATTGTTAAACCTTTCAACTATATTTTCAAATTTCTTAAGTGGATGTTTTTTTATTTCAAGAAGTCCTTTTGCATTGTTTAAAAGATATTTATCTTTCCCATCATTTCCTGGGGTTTTTATAGTTTCTTGTGTTGGTTTTCAACTTTGTCTTCAATCTCATTTAATTTCCTTGCAATTTATACTTTGTGTTCTTTGTCATTTCTCAGTTTCCATTTTGGTTAGGGATCCTTCAGTCATGTCACAACATTCAGATTTTTCATGGTGCCGGAATTCTTATACTGATTCCTTCTCATCTGGAGCAGCTGCTCACAGAAAGCCACTCTTAATTTTGAATTTATTTTTGTTCAGATGGGGTTTTTTTCATTATTATTTTTCTTTCTCCATCCCTCCCTTTCCCTAGGGATTATGACTGTGGAGTGTGTTGTGTAGGGTCTTTTAACTTTGCTTCTGTGTACTTTATGCACTTCCGTTGGCAGTTTTTATATTTGGCTGTGAGTTCAACCTGCAGGCCAGTAGATGGCACTGACGGATCTGAGACAGCTTTTGCACAGCAGATGGGTAGCTACTTGGTCTTTGTTTATTGGGAGGTGCTCTCTCTGTTGCTTCTGGTGATGGGCTGGACAGTGAAGTGCCTGGTGCTTTGAGCTTTCCATTTAGCAGAGCAGAGCTGGACCCCCTGGCTTGCCCACAAACACCCCAATGCCAAGTATAGGCGCCAACCCTTATGGGGATGGCTTCAGGAGTTCCCAGTGACGTGTGCTAAGGTCGCTACATGGGGTGAGGGGGTTGCACCAGCTCCATGTGCTAATTAGGCAGGAATGTGATCTATTCCCAATCGCACCACGATTGTCTACATCCAGGCCACAGTGTGGTTGACAGCTATGGAACACACCTGTCTTGAGACTCTGGCAGAACCTTTTCAGCCCAGTATAAACAGCATATGGCTCTGTCACTTTTGATGTGGTAATGCTGTTGCATTGTGAGGGACAGGAAGTACGCTCTGCCTCTCAGGCCCATTGATGGGTGTCAGTTGTGGTGGTGTTGACTGGTTGGGTCGGCCTGACCTCAGGCCCTGGGAAAAGTGGTCAGGTGCCAGCAGTGTTCGATTGGTCTACATAGCATCCCAGTTCCCAGGCCCTCAGATGGCCCACTGGACAGCAAGTAGGAGTCCTTAAAACCCACTTTTACTTAGTGTTCCATTATAGAACACTGAGCATGTGGGACTTATTTATATGCTACTGCTCAATATCATCACCAAGATCTGATTGCAAAAATTCAAAAAATTGCAACCTCAGGCATAAATGGGTTAAGGGGCTGGACTGGGGTTGGGGCACCCTAGACTTCAGGTGGTGGCTGTGATGGGGGGAGCTGGCTGGTCCCCACAACCCTCATGTGGGGGCAGGCAGAAGGCCCAGGTGGTGGGAGCCTCATGGCAAATCACAGGCCTTTGGGAACTGAGCTCTCAGAACGGTTCTGGTCACAGCAGAAATGTTCAGGCAGGAGCTGGGTGGCTCTGCTGTGGGCCTTTCACTGGGGAAGGGAAGGCCCCTAAGGGCACTGGAGACCAGCAGCTAGGCTCATTCACACTTCCTTTCTGCAGAAGCAGTTCTGGATTTTGTTCTTGGGACACATGCAGAGGTGCCAGGCCTCCTCATTCTCTCTCTGGCCTGGGATTAGTAGAAAGTGACAAATGTTAGTGGCTTGTTGGTTCCCTTTGGGAGTCGGACTCTCAGAGAAACACCTAGTCAAGGCCAATGTTTCTTCAGGGGTGGGTCGACTGCACAGGGGGCCTGCGGCAGATAAGCCCCATTTCTCAGGAAGCTGTCGAGGCGGGGAGTGGTGTGGTGCGTGGTCTGGCAGCTCCTCTGCACAGCGGCTGTGCTGTCTCACCTGGGGGTGTGCAAAGAGCTTGGCCTCCCTCCTTGGCATGGAAGCTGTCACCGGGCTGACCGTGGGATACCAGGTGGGCTTGAGTGATGCCTCTGCACAATATCTGGGTGACTGTGTGTTCACCTGGAGACCTAAGGAGGATTATAGGGACTCTCCTGTGGCTAGGACTGTAAAAGTCTGTGATGGAGGTGTGGGTCCCAGAGCCTCTCACCTCATTCATCCCTTCCACAGGCTGCCTGGCTCCACTATTCCCTGCTTTCCTTGGGTCCCATTGCTTCTCTGGTGAATCTAAGTATACTCTCTTAGAGGATCTATGTGAAGTGTGAGGATTTACTTGCCATTTTGGTTCCTGTCTGTGAGAGAGGGGTGAGCTAGCTGCTTCTAGTCAGCCATTTTGACCTAAAATCTCAACTGCTTTGACTCCTCATATGAGTGAGATCGCATAGTAATTGTCTTTCTGTGCTTGGCTTATCTCACTTAGTATTATCTCTTCTAGATTCATCCATGTTCTCACAAATGACAGGATTATCCTTTTTTAAAAGCTGAATAGTATTCCATTATACATATGTGTATGTATGTGTATATATATCTCAATCTCACATTTTCTCTATCCATTCATCGATTGATGGACACTTAGGTTAATGCCATATCATGATTATCATGAATAATGCTGCAAAGAACATGGGAGTGCACATATTTTATTGACACACTGATTTCATTTCCTTTTGGTATGTACGGTTGAAGTCAAATAAATTATAGAGATGAATTTCTGACATAAAAATATTTTATTTAGGAAAAAATGCAATTGGGAAGATACACACAGATTGGGTGGTCTTCAGTGTATCCAGAGAACAAAGAGAAGGTCGGAAGTTTTATAACAAGGAGAGATGTTACATATTTGTTCTTCGAGAAAGTTCACGGCACCTGTAAAGTTCTGGGGAGTTAGCAAGCTCTGATTGATGAGTGGTGGTGATGGTAAAACTAGTCCTAGATTTGCAGCAGGTTGTGTCAGTAGCTATTAGATAAAACTGGTTTCAGATTACTACAGGCAATTTCACAGCCAGGCTTGCAAAGAATTATATTCTTGGAGCAGTGTTATGAACCCTGAGTGTTTTTCCCGCTGGCCTCTCAACTCTGTTTTCATTCAGTAGAATGACCCAGTTTATAAGCAGCTTTCACGATACTGGGAAGTGAGACGACTAGATCCTATGGTAGTTCTATTCTCAATTATTTCAGGACTCTCAATACTGTTTTACAAAGTGACTGTATAAATTTATATTTCTACCAACAATGTACAAAGGTTCCTTTGTCTTATGTTCTCACCAACATCTATTTTTTGTCTTTTTGATAATAGCCATTCTAATAAGTGTGAGATGATAATATCATTGTGGCTTTAATTTTCATTTTCCTGATGACTAGTGATGTTGAACGTTTTTTCATAGACCCATTGGCTAGTTTTATGTCTGTTGGGTCCTTTGTTGATTTTTTTGTTTGTTTGTTTCTTTTATGTTGAAATAGGGTCTTGCTCTGTCAACCAGGCTGCACTGCAGTGGCACAGTCATGGCTCACTGCAGCCTTGACCTCCTAGGCGATTCTTCCACCTCACCTTCGTGAGAAGCTGCGAAGCAGGCATGCCCCATCACACCCAGCTCATTTTTTTTCTTTCTTTTTTTGTAGACAGTGTCTCATCGTTTTGTTCAGTCTGGTGTCGGACTCCTGGGCTCATCAGATCCTGCTGCTTTGCCCTCCTAAAGTGCTGGGATTACAGGTATGAGCCACTGCACCTGGCCCCTTTGCCTATTTTTTAAATAAAATTCTTTGCTTGTTTTTTGTTTGTTTGTTTTTTGCTATTGGGTTGAATTCCTCATACATTTTGGAAATTAACCCTTTATCAAATATTCAGCTTGCAAATATTTTCTCCCATTGTTGTCTCTGCACTGTTAACTGTTTCCTTTGCCATGAAGAAGCTTTTTAGCTTGATACAATCCTATTTGTCTATTTTTGGTTCTGTTGCCTGTGCTTTTGATGTTATATCCGAAATATCGTTACCCAGACCAATGTCAAGAGGTTTTTCTCCTATGTTTCCTTGTAGTCATTTTGCATTTCCAGGTCTTATATTTGAGTCTTTAATTTACATTGAGTTTATTATTTGTACATGGAATAAGAATCCAATTTTATTATTTTCCATGTTAATGTTTAGTTTTACCAAAACCATTTATTGAAGAAGATACTATCTTTTCCCCATTATGTATTCTTGATACCTTTGTTGAAAATTGGCTGTAAACATATTGATATATTTCTGGACTGTGTATTCTGTTCCATTGTTCTATGTGTCTGTTTTTCTGCCAGTACCATGTTGTTTTAATTACTGTAGTTTTGTAGTATATTTTAAGATCAGGTAGTGTAAGGCCACCAACCTTGTTTTTTGTTTTATTTCATTTCTAACTGCTAAACAATATAGAAGTTTCCAGCTTTGTTCTTCTCATGATTGCTTCGGCTATTTGGTGTTATTTTGTGGCTCTGTACCAATTGTAAAATTATTTTTACTTTTTCTGTGAAGGATGACATTGGAATTTTGATAGAAATTGCATTCAAACTGTAGATTACTTTGGATTACGTGGCCATTTTAACAACATAGATTCTTCCAATTTATAAATATATTTTTTCATTTATTTATATCATCTTCAGTTTTTTTGTCAGGTGTTTTCACTTCCTTGGTTAAATGTATTATTAAGTCTTTTATTTTTTGATGCTGTTGTAAATGGAATTGTTTTTCTTTATTTCTGTTTTTGGGTACTTTGTTGTTAGTCCATATAGTTGCTACTGATTTTTATATGTAGATTTCGTAGCCTGCAACTTTACTGAATTTGTTTTAACAGTTTTTGGTAGCATGTTTAGGGTTTTCTATATATAAGGTCTTGTTATCAGCAAACATAGACAATTTCTTTCTTCTTTTCTCTTTGCGTGCCATTTATTTCTTTTTCTTGCCTTTGCTCTGAGTAGGACTTAGATTTAATGAAAGTGACATAGTGGGCACCTCTGTCTTGTTCCTGATCTTAGATGAAAAGTTTTCCACTTTTCATAATTGAGTGTCATGTTAGCTGTGGTTTTGTCATATATGGTTATTACCTGTTGAGAGTTTTTGTCATGAAAAGATGTTGAATTTTATTGTTTTTATTGTATCTATTGTAATCACGTTTTATGTCTTCATTCTGCTAATGTGGTGGTTCCCATTTTATTGATTTGTGTATGTTGAGTCATCCTTTCATTCCAAGAATAAATCCCGCCCAATCATAATGTATGATCCTTTTAATGTACTGATAAATTCAGTTAGCTAGTACTTTGTTGAAGATTTTTACATCTGTTTTCATTAGGGATATTGATTAGTCTTCTTTTCTTATAGTGTCTGGCTTTAATATCAGGGTAATGCTGGCCTAATAAAATGAATTTGGAAGTGCTTTCTCCTCTTCAATTTTTCAGAAGCTTTTGATAAGGACCGGTGTTAATTCTTCCTTAAATGTTTGATAGAGTTCACAAATAAAACCATCAGGTACTATGCTTGTCTTTATTGGGAGATTTTTGATTATTGATGTAATTTCCTTACTCATTATTGGTCTGTTCAGATTTTCTGTTTTTTTATGATTCAGTCTTGGTAGGTTGTATGTTTTTAGGAATTCATCTGTTTCTCTAGGCAGTTGTAATGTTTCCTCTTTCATTTGTAATTTTATTAATTTTTAATTAAATATTTTTAAAGATTATTTTATTTGTATTTTTTAAATTTTATTTTACTTTAGGTATATACTATATCCAGCATTTCTCCTCATGTTATCCCTCCCCACCCTCTCCACTCTCAACTCTCCCTCCCCTACCCCCCAATTTTTATCTTAAAGTTTTCTTTTTGTAGTTAGTCTAATGATTTGTCAGTTCTGTTTATCTCTTCAAAAAACAAAAAACAAGTCTTAACTTCCTTGATGTTTTCTATTATTTTCCTAGTCTTTATTTCATTTATTTATTTGTTTTGATTTTTATTTCCTTCCTTCTGCTGATTTGAGCCTTAGTTTGCTCCTTTTCTTCTAATTCCTTAAGGTGTAAGGTTAGATTGCTTATTTGAGATATTCTCTCTTTATGTAGGTGTTGGTCACAATAAAGTGTCCTTGTAGAACTGTTTTAGCTGCATGCCATGTAATTTTGATATGCTATTTTTTCAGTTTCATTCATCTCTATTTTTTTTTTTTTGCTTTTCTGTTTTACATCTTCTTTGACCTGTTGATTGTTTAGATGTATGTTGTTTAATTTCTACATATTTGTGAATTTTCCAACTGTCTCCCTATTCTTGGGTTCTAGTTTTATACCATTTTGTCAGAAAAGAAAATTGATATAATTTTGGTCTTTTCTAATATGTTAAAATTTACTTTGTAGCCTAACATATGATTTGTCCTGGATATTTTTTCATGTGCACTTAAAAAGAATTTGTATTTTGCTGCTGTTGGATGGAATGTTCTGTATATGTCTGTTAGGCCCGTTAGACTCAAGTCTACTGTTTCCTTATTTATTTTCTGTATTATCTATAAATTGTTGATAATGGGAGTACTAGCTTGGCGCAGTGGCTCACGCCTTTAATCCCAGCACTTTGGGAGGCCGAGGCAGGTGGATCGTTTAAGGCCAAGAGTTGGAGACCAGTCTGGCCAACATAGAAAAATCCTGTCTAGATGATTATGCTTGAGGGGACTCAAGATGGCGCTGTGAGAACAACCCAGGATTGGAGCCCGCGTTGAATCCACAAACGCCAGCCGTGCCGAGGCAACCCGCCCCAACTGGGATACACGCCCACTGCTGACGCAGCCAGCCGTTGCCGAGGCAACCCGTCCCTACTGAGATACACGCCCACTGCTGACTCAGCCTGCCGTTGCTGAGGCAACACGCTACAACGAAGAGACTCTGCCGCAGGGCGTGGCAGAGACCACAGCAGAGCCGGCAGGAACAGCGCGAATCACACAACAGCAGGGCGGAGCCTCGGCAGCCAAACAGTGGCTAGTCTGCCTTCGAGCTGGGCAGGACACCTGATCGGACATCCAAAAATAAAGCCCAAACCCCTCAACACAGAGCATTTGAGAAAAAAAAAAGGGTTGTTTAATGAGCTGTGTTGCAGCAGAATCAAACATAGCAGCCTAACAGCCCTGAATGAACAACAGAGTGCACAGCTCAGCAATTAAACCCCTATAAAGTACAAACTGTCTCCTCAAGCAGCTCCCTGACCCCTCTATATCCAAAAGACTGTCATTAGGCAGGCATCATCCTGGGACAAAGAGAGCAGAAAAAGAAACTGGTAGCATCCCTCGCTGTGCCACGGCTACTAGAGGTGCACCCCAGACAAGCAGGGTCTGGAGCGGACCTCAACAGTCGTACAGCGAAGGGGCTAGACTGGTAGAAGGAAAACCAAGCAACAGAAATACTTCATCATCAACATTCTGGGTGTCCACTCAGAGACCCAAACGAAAAGTCAGCAACTACGCAGACGACCAGCGGACAAATCCACAAAGATGGGAAGAAACCAGCGCAAAAAGGAGGAAAACACCCGAAACCAGAACACATCGCCTCCTAGAAAGGACCAAAACTCCTCACCAGCAAGGGAACAAAGCTGGACGGAGAATGACTGTGACGAAATGACGGAATTAGACTTCAGAAGATGGATAATGAGAAACTTTTGTGAGCTAAAAGATCATGTATTAAATCAATGCAAAGAAACTAAGAACCTTGAAAAAAGATTTGAAAAAAGATTCGAGGAAATGATAACAAGAATGGATACCTTAGAGAGGAATATGAATGAATTAAAGGAGCTGAAAAACACAATACGAGAACTTCGCGAAGCAAACGCGAGTTCCAATAGCCGAATTGACCAAGCAGAAGAAAGAATATCTGAAGTCGAAGACCAACTCAATGAAATAAAACGAGAAACCAAGATCAGAGAAAAAAGCGCAAAAAGGAATGAACAAAGTCTCCAAGAAATGTGGGACTATGTGAAAAGACCTAACCTACGTTTGATAGGTGTACCAGAAGGGGACGAAGAGAATGAATCCCAGCTGGAAAATACTCTTCAGGACATCATCCAGGAAAATTTCCCCCACCTAGCAAGACAAGCCAACACTCAATTGCAGGAAATACAGAGAACACCACAAAGATATTCTGCAAGAAGAGCAACCCCAAGGCACATAATCGTCAGATTCAACAGGGTTGAAATAAAGGAGAGAATACTAAGGGCAGCCAGAGAGAAAGGTCGGGTCACCCACAAAGGGAAGCCCATCAGACTCACAGCAGATCTCTCAGCAGAAACACTACAAGCCAGAAGAGAGTGGGGGCCAATATTCAACATTCTTAAAGAAAAGAACTTTCAACCCAGAATTTCATATCCAGCCAAACTGAGCTTCAGAAGTGAAGGAAGAATAAAATCCTTTGCGAACAAGCAAGTACTCAGAGATTTTGTCACCACCAGGCCTGCTTTACAAGAGCTCCTAAAAGAGGCACTACACATAGAAAGGATCAATCAGTACCAGCCATTCCAGAATCACACTGAATGCTAAAGAGCTTCAACATAATGAAGAATCTACAACAACTAACAGGCAAAACAGCCACTTAGCATCAAAATGGCAGTATCAAATTCACACATAACAATATTAACCCTAAATGTAAATGAACTAAATGCACCAATCAAAAGACACAGACTGGCAAATTGGATAAAAATCCAAAACCCATCAGTGTGCTGTATCCAGG